AGAATAGAATAGAATAGAATAGAATAGAATAGAATAGAATAGAATAGAATAGAGAATGAAAGAATAGAATAGATTCAAGAATTATGGAATGGAATAGAATAGAATAGGATTAGGAACAGGAATAACAGAAATAGAAATAGAAACAAGGTAGGGTAGCGTAGAGTAGAGTAGAACAGAACAGAATAGCTGGAAGGGAACCTTGGAGGTCTTCTAGTCCAGCCCCTTGCTCAAGCAGGAGAACCTCTACCATTTCAGATAAGTGAGACTAGTGTCTCTTCTTAAAAACCTCCCGTAATGGGAAAGTGGGAGCTTCCTGCAGGTTGTTCCTTGGTTTGCTCTGAGGGGAGCCTTCTCTGGAGCGGGGCTCTGTTTGCTTCGCTGCTCGGCAGAGTAAACAGCCCATGACGACGACTCGTCTTCACCCAACACGCTCAACCATAAATCCTGCTTGCAAATCATGGGCCAGCTTGACCCCTTACCCTGCCCCCACCCCCCAAACAAAGCCCAGAAGGAGCTTAGTAAGAGGCGTTTAATTACTAAGTCGAGCTCCCTGCTAATAAACTGACTTGCCTGGTGAGGATTCCTTGGAGCTGGGTTTTCTGTAAGCCCACCCTTTGTGTAGGTTTGAGTTCGAACTCATCTTGGCCTTCGGAATGCAGACTGGAAGGGGTCAAGCTGGAGTCCCATCCCAAAAGAAGGAGGTGGGTGATAGGAGCGTTGAGTCTTTCAGCCCACGGGAGACTTTGGGTCCCGTATCGTCTCAGTGCGCTCCATTCCAATTATTGCATTGGCCAGGAATGAAGGACCATCTTCCTCTTAATTTTGAATAGGAAAGAGAAATAAAACTCAATTCGTCTTTCACTTAGAACCGGATTAAAGGTAAAAGCTCCCCTCACACATACGTGCTAGTTGTTTCCGGCTCTAGAAGACATCTCCGTTGCAAAGCCGAAGAAGAGCCAGCGCTGTCCGAAGACGTCTCCATGGTCATGTGGCCGGCAGGACTAAACACCAAAGGCTCACAGAACGCTGTTCTCTTCCCACCAAAGGAGGTCCCTATTTTTCTACTTGCACTGTTTACATGCTTTCAAACTGCTAGGTTGGCAGAAGCTGGGACAAGGAATGGGAGCTCGCTCCGTTACGTGGTGCTGGGGATTCGAACTGCCGAACCGGTGATCTTTCTGATCGACAAGCTCAGTGTCTTAGCCACCGAGCCACCGTGTCCCTTCTATATGGTCTCTACAATACCGTTAATTTATGTGACTGCTATATGTCTAGTACAACACGGCAGTGATGGCCAAAGCTATGAGAATGCGCTCAGTCATGCAGTCCCTGGTCATCTCACGGTTAGACTATTGTATTGTCCCTTACATGGGGCTATCCTTGAAGAGCATTCAGAAAGGACAGAGCCGGGCAGGTTTTTTTTTCTTGGGGGAGGCTAGAATGGCCCCAGTAGCAACCAGTGCCACATGAGTTCCACTGGTTACCGGAATGCTGCTTCCTTCCTACCAAAGGGCTCCCTATTTTTCTACTTGCATTTTTACATGCTTTCGAACTGCTTAGTTGGCAGAAGCTGGAACAAGTAACTCTGTTACATGGCACTGGGGATTCGAACTGCTGAACTGTCGACCTTTCTGATCGACAAGCTCAGCGTCTTAGCCCCTGAGCCCCCGTGTCCCTAGAACTGGATTAATCCAGTGGGAAAATTAATCAGACTCTTAAGTTAGTTTGAGGTTGACTGAACCCCTTATGAGGAGCAGATGCTTTAGGGCAGGGGTGTCCAACCTTGGCAACTTTTAAGACCGGTGAACTTCAGCTCCCAGAATTCCCCAGGCAGCATGGGAGTTTGAAACCCGTAGGTCTTAAAGTTGCCAAGGTTGGACACCCTTCAGGGGATGTTTTGCTTTGTGTTTGCTGGCTAGCTTTGGGGAAAAGGTCAACTCAGCAGCTGCCCATCCCATTTTCTCCAAAACCTCTGTGAGGTCCTGACACTCAGCCAGGAAGTGTCAGGCAGAGTGTGAGACCCTCCCTAGTTTTGGAAGCCTGTTGGGAGGTCTCCCTTTGGCTTGCACCCCCCACCAGCACCAACTTCCTGGTCCTGCTTCTGGCTTGGAACACTCGTTCAGGACACATCTGGGAAAGTTGGCTTGGGTTTGTCGTGCATCCAAGAATTGGCAAGGGCTGAGGAGCTGCTGCCGTCGCTCCTGCTGTGTTTGTGGCAAAAAATAAAATAAAAAAATCTGTTGTGCATCAGGCAGAGATGCAGGAATGCAAGGAAGGGGCTGCGGGGAATGATCTTGTGCATGCGTGTGTGTGTGTGTGTGTTTGTGCAAATATTACCGTGTTATTTTGTGAGGGTAAATCTACACCAGCAGCGGTAGATCGTCGATCGTGTCTCCTTGGCTAGCATTTTGAATTCGTCTTTTTTCCAACAGAAGGAAAGGGCAAGGGAGCTTAGCGCGTTACGGATACCCAGCCAACTCTGGCTTATTCAATAGAATGTGGTTAAAGAATCCATAGCTTGGCACACTGTAGGTACCCAGCTGCTAAGACAAATCCCGTCAAGGCTTAGCGCGACGCAGGAGTTTTGGGTCCATCTGGCTGCTAGTGGTGATTCTCCAGAATTTATGCAGGAATTTTCCAGCCCTCTGGAAATACAAGGTTGGAACCTGTGACTTCTGGCATGCCAACACGCGTTCCATCCCTGAGCCTCAATTAGGGTATACAGTTGAGTTCCAGGATTTTTGGAACATTGTCTTCCATCAGCTTCTAACATCACATCCCTTGGCGAGGCATCGGAAAGGGAATGCAAAATAGCTAACTGTCCCATTAACATCCGTCCGTCCCATTAGAGAAGTGTGGGAGGGGCGGGGGGTGCTATTGCTATTATCCTCATCCTTCTCATCTTTCCTAATAGCTACTCGTATTGGTATCTTATCAGTATCACTTTGTTGACTGTATCTTATGATTTATGATTGATCACTTAGTTGCTTGTGCCATATGTACACTGAGAGGTTATGCACCAGAGACAAATTCCTTGTGTGTCCAATCACTCTTGGCCAATAAAGAATATTCTATTCTATCCTATTCTATTCCATTCCATTCCATTCCATTCCATTCCATTCCATTCTATTCTATTCTATTCTATTCTATTCTATTCTTATTCTATTCTTATTCTATTCTGCTCTGTTCTTATTCTATTCCATTCTATTCTCTTTTATTCTGTTCTTATTCTATTCTGTTCTTATTCTATTCTATTCTTATTCTATTCCATTCCATTCCATTCCATTCTATTCTATTCTGTTCTTATTCTATTCTGTTCTTATTCTATTCT